CTGGTGCCCATCACTGCGAGAGGCAGGGTACACCCTGGACCGGTCTCCAGTCCATCACAGGAACACAGAGACAAACGAGACAACCAACCATTCACTCTTTCACTCACACCTAGGGACAATTTAGAGTTACCAATCAGCCTAACATGCATGTTCTATTTCGTATAGGCTTCGCCCTTTAAGGCTATCGCTAGTGGGTTTATCCCCTTTGCGCGCAGCGCAGCACTGAAAAATAGTCCCAAGTCCACCTGCTGTGTGGGCCCCACCCCCAGTCCGTATAAATTACGGTGAGACCGGGTAATCGGCTCCCATTTTTTCTTCATCCGACCAGCACTGTTTATCGAGAAGAAAGAAGATGTCCAGCACCATCCGCCTGTGCCCGTCCTGTCAGACCGGCTACATTATGAGCTTCGACCGGCATGACATCTGCGAAGGATGCCTGGGTCCCCGCCACTCCGACCTCGCCTCCTCCTGCTGTCTCTGTGACCTCCTCCCTCCCGAGGAGAAGCAGAGACGAGCAGCCTTGTTCAAGGCTAACATCAAGGAGTGTTTTTCTGGCAGGGGATTGTTCGCTGGACGACTCCATTGCCTTTTTTGACGCTGAGTCACGTAGCGAATCGGATGATTCCTCCAGAAAAGGCGATGTCAGCAGCAGCTCCGCTGCTCTTTCCCTTCTGGAGAGCGTAGTGTTGGAAGAGTGGGGGCTGAGCAACCCCCCCCGGTCTTCCCGCATCAGCGAGCACACCGCTCCCAGCCGTCGGTGCCCTCCTTTCGGAGCTGCCCGGCATAATCCAGGAGGCGGCTGACACAAAGGGACTTTCCGTCCCTCTCCTCACCCCCGCCCCCCCCCCCCGCCCAGATCGGATGATCTAGCGGGAAGGTTTGGCTCCACCCCGGCTCGCTGCCCTGACCCCGCCTAGCCTCGTTTCCCAGCATTGACATCCTACTGGATCGAGGCTGCAGGCGGACCTGGTAAGCTGAAGGCGCCCGTCGCCACCTTCGCTCCCATCACCAGAGTGGAGGGTTTTACTGAGCGGAGTTTTTCCTCGGTTCCCCCCCTGGAGCCAAGCGGCGGAGACACTTGGGGCAAAAGTTTCCAGGTTGGACCAGCGATCTGTCCCTCCAGGGAAACACAACCAGACGGCGACGAAGCTCTCCAACCGAACTCACCAGTGTTCTTTTCAGGCTGCCGCGGCTAACGATAATGTCGCCCTGCTGGCTTACAGCATTTCAAAGAGGCTGGAGGACGCAAACCTGCCTGAGGAGATGGAGAGCTCGCTCTGCAAGGCAGCTGATGTCATTCTGAACATGTGCGCCACCTCTGCGGTTTGCCTGTCTCGCATCGCCGCCTGGATGACGATGATCCAGAGGTCCACCTGGCTTCGTCTCTCTCCATCCATGCCGGAGAGGCTGCAGAGGGGCCTGCTGGAGGGCCCCATCACGACGGACACGTTGTTCAGGGCCAACTTCAAGGCCATGCTCGAAAAGTCCGAGGAGGTGTCGGAGACTGTGCGTCATCTGATGAAGCCGCAGCCCTCCTGCCCGCTGGAGGGATCGCCGTTGCCAGCAACAGCAGCAGAGACGCTCCACAGCTGCTAAAGACAATCGACACTGCTTCACGAGCTCGGGTCTGTTTATTTCTGGCTCGTAACATGTACGCTCCACTTACCACACATCCTGTCTACCTTATGGCAAGCCCATGACGACAATAATTATGAAGGTTTACAATACAACATTGTAAATACAACAGAGCCTGTGTTGTTTTCTGACATTTCTGACCGCAGTAAACGTGTTTCTCCACGACAACTGCAGCCTCCATCCTAATGGCGTCTCATCTCTAAAAGCCTCCCCTCAGTGCACGTCAGCTCACAGCAACTCTAACGTGAGCCCGCAGCCTGAGCGCAGCACAGAGGCTCTTTCATGGCCCTTTCTGTGGGAGCCCCCTTGGGTCCCTCTCTGAGAATCTCCGGAGCGGGTGACGGCAGTGAGGGCTTTAACCTGGCTGACGTCCATAAAAAACATGACAACACAAAAACGCGTGCCCGCTCCCCGAGCGTTACGCAGAGTGGCAATGAGTGTGTTCCCTGGACAGATGGATGGACTGTCTGATCAGCAGGGGTTACACGCTGCAGTTCGCAGCTCAACTTCCACCGCTCAGAGGGATTATAGAGACGGTTCTGTCGTCTCCAGAACAGAACTCCTCTCCACTCAGAAGTTCAGGAATTACTGATAAAAAACATAATTTCCAGGTCTACAAATTGGTTGACAGCTGCTGCTAATCGACTTCATAACTCTTTTCATGCCTGTGAGAAAATAACTATTCACATGTAAAAGGACATCAGCCAAGAGTTGCTCTTTAATGCCCTGATGTCTGCTTGTTGTTAACAGAGGACTGAGTGATGAAATAACAGTAGGTGTGATACCAACAAAGTCCATGCTCAATAATCCAGGTATACAATCCAACATTTTTCAGTCAGGTCATCTGGACAGTTTCTTTTTTTGTGCTGAAACGTTTCACCTTCGATCCAGAAGGCTTCTTCAGTCAAGGAAACACACAACAAAACTGATTCTTCCCCCAACAGCTTACTCCAAAGTGGAACAAACCAGTTTTGTTTGTGATAAGATGGTTTCTTTGGTACGCCCCCTCCTCCCTCTTCCTTGTGTGTGTACAGTAGGTGTGATAGTTGAATATGGAGACCCCCGCCTCGTTTAAAGATGGACGGATTCTCTTCACAAAGATGGATAATTATTTACTCCTCTCTCAATTCCTCTCCTAGAATATGTAGAATATCAATAGAACCACTCCCCCCCGGTGAAGAGCAGAGTTCTTATGATCAGTTGTTGGGTTGATGGTCCTCCTTTACATGTGGATACTGGTTCTGGCTAGCAGAAACTGGTTGAGGAGTGCTATTTGAGTTTTTATCACCTTCTCAGACTGAAGAAGTTTTTTTAAATAAAAGACAAGAAGAATCTGTTCTGATTTAACCTGGTTAGATTTATCTACCAGGATTATTGAGCAGCATCAGGAGATAATCTGTTCTTGATGCTCCTGATTTAAAAAGGTTTATTCTTGTAACATTTCAGAAAAAAAATAAAAAACATGCATGTTAGGCTGATTGGTAACTCTAAATTGTCCCTAGGTGTGAGTGAGACAGTGAATGGTTGTTTGTCTCGTTTGTCTCTATGTGTCCCTGTGATGGACTGGAGACCCGTCCAGGGTGTCCCTCGCCCCTCGCACAGTGATTGCTGGACATGGGCACCAGCGACCCCCGTGATCCAAAATGGAAGAAGCGGGTAAAAGATAATGGATGGATGGTATTTTGACTGGTACAGCACAAGTCAAAAGAGTTTTGCTGCATTTGCTTATGCAGTTGTACCTGAAGAAAATGTTGGTAACTTTGAGTAACTATTTAAAATCGGGGGTGGAGAGGTATAATGTCACACAGGGTAAATACTTGTTTTTGTTTCATGACATCCTGCCCAACATCTGTTGCAACACCTGGAACTGTTAGGAGGTAAACCTGAATATTTCAGACATAGGCGGTGATGTGAGGAGTGAAATATTTTACTGTGACCGTAAGATGGCACTGAAGACCTGGGAACAAATCATGGATATCACAAACATAATGGACATTAGACTGTTTCAGGAAGTGTTTAATGGCTGACAGCTGTATAAAAGCCACTAAAGTGAAGCAGCAACAACAATTTTAGTCATGATTTAACTGGGGGGAAAATGACAAGGCTGTCTTGCTCTCAGGTTCACTGATAAAATCAGTGCTGTCTGACGGCAGACTTTAAACCAGTTTCACGTCAGGGGTAATACTACTGTATGGCTCAGTTACATGGAGCACTGGACCCACATGGCAGGTGAAGAACAATCTGCCTTGACCTAATCCTATGTTCAAAGACCACAGGAATCAAAAAAGACACCCATATCCACTGGCTTTTAGAGACACAGGACTTATCTGTTTAACAAGCCTCTGCTTGTTGGTGTCAGTCTTTCTACACTTACCTGCCTGGCCTGCGATGCAGACTGATCTACTGTCCAGGAAAGCTTCATTCAGAGCGCAGAGCTACAACTCTTACTGTGTA